GATGAATACAAGCCTGTCCGAGTGTTATAGTTCAGTCCGAGCCCAGAGGGTGACGTTGGTTCCAGCCAACACAACGCAGTGGGAGTCGCCCAGAGAGTCCCAGACGCTGATGTACGGGAGGTTGGAGGACAGGCAGGAGATCAGAGCAAACAAAGGAAGACAAACTAAGGGACAAATGAAGGCAGGATAATCGTTTAGGACATGCTCAGTAGTCAGAGTCAGGAGATATGAGGTCCAAAGAGGTGCCATGGGGATATCCAGAAAAGAGTTGGGAAACAGTTCCAGCTTGGGTACACAGGCAGAATCCAGCAGGAGTCTGAAGACAGGTCAGGCAAACAGAACAGAACAGGGGCAGGCAGGCTCTGAGGTCGAAAGGCAGAATGGGTCTGGATCAGGCATTCAAAAACACAGGTACGCTCGAAAACTTCTCACCACTGGCTCGAAATAATCTGGCAACAATTACTGGTCTGAAGGCTGGTCAAATAGAGACAGAAGCAGGTGGATAAGATGAGTGGCAATGAGAACTGGGCGAAGATAAACAGGTGAGTGAAATGAGTAATCAGGCCAGATATCAGTGCCAAGATCATGACACTTTTTATACAAAACAGAACACATGTAGGGCTTCTCCCAACAGAGCTGGAGGAGGTGTCTGCGGAGAGGGAAGTCTGGGAGTCTCTGCTTAGTCTGCTCCCCCGCGACCCGGTTCTGGATAAAGCGGGAGATGACGAGTATTTGCGGAGCAACTCCCTCCAACTTTCTGTACATGTAGATCAAGCTCTGCACTGGAGTACGTTCCTCTGTACAGGATGTATCTTGTGTTGCCAGAAAATACGTTTCCTTTAAGCAGCTATCTACTTATCTACTATGGAAAGCCGATATGAAAAATTTTAAATACTTAAATTCAATTGTTAGAAACACTAGATCATATAAACTTAATTAACGTCACAATGTCCCCAGTATAACTTATTCATTTCCAAATTTATGTCATGGTGTGTGTCAACATCTATGTCAACACTTAATTCCATTATAGAGTGATTCTTATATTGTTCTAATTTGGATTCTGGAGGCATAAAAGGTGGAAAGTTGAAGTGAAAAAGGATATAAAAACTATTACGGCTGAATAATCTACAGATTATTTTAAACAATGTGTTTTCTTGTGAAGAGTATGTTAATATCTGATTTCAATAGTATGTTTATTTAACTAAATTTAAAAAACGTAGATTCTGCAGCTGTTATTCTCAAACTGCATACTATTCTCATGAGTGTCTGTGTTTGTGAATGGATGTTTTTCCTGTAAATTCCTTATTGAAAAAGGAAAAAAAAAACAAACCTATGGCTTACTACCGTTCGTAAAAGCCAGCAGATATTTGTTCACTGCCCCAGCAGGAACAATTCCACATCCTGCATGTAAACTACCTCTCTTTGTATTCCCGAGCTGAGCATGAATAGACTGAGATGGCGTTTGGACCCTGTGGGACCCTGCAGATGGGACAGCTTGTGCCATACCGAGGGCCGTCACATCCAGACGGTGAAATGTCACAAAAATGTCAGGGGAGCACGAGTTGGCTTCAGAGCTGATAGTCCTCAGTGATACACCATTGAACAACAGCAAAGAAAAGGCCAAACTGCCCTACGCTTGAGTGCTGTCACAGACAGCATATTGGCTCTGCTGCCATTAGTCAGATAATGGTTCAATACTTGATTTGCCTGCTTTTCGTCCAAAGACTATTAAAAGCAGGGTCATGTATTTAATGGACATTTACTGGGAACAACAACAGTCAAGAGGCTCCTAAGATTCACTTGTTTAACGTGGTGCAAGCCTGATCTTTGTAATCAGTCCACAGCTTTAAAGGGGGTGCTAAATAATCTATAACCTTTATAGGGCCAGGAGGAATAGCAACCAATTTGGCTGAACTTATCTCCCCTCGCAAGTGTCTGGCACAGAACCAGCCTTCACCTCTCTGCTGAGCGACAGCATTCAGCAGCTGACTCAAACTACAAAGCTGGCATGTGAAACGGAAATGAATGCACCACTTGGTGGGACTAGAAATCCTGCACATTGCCTGCAGTAATGAGCTTAGACAGCTGGATCCAAAACATTGGAATAATAATAAAGTCTGACCTTGTTCAGCAGAAAAACAGATTAAAGTATATAGGAAGTTTCCTGAATCAATACTTTAGAGGCCAGCTGAAGAGACTGAAACAGGGGAAAGCCTGAGGACCGGACGGCACCCCCCCCCAAGGCTGCTGAGGAACGGTGCTGATGAGCTCTGCGAGTTCCTCAGCTACAGGTACAACCTGAGTCTCTGCCTGGGGGTGGTCCCCACTCTCTTGAAGACCTCCTGTTTGGTGCCGGTTCACAAAACGCAGCATGCCAAGGAACACTTTAGACTAGTCACCCTGACCTCCCACCAGATGAAGACCACGTACTGTGGTGAGCCCCAGTCTGGACCCGCGGGCGCTCCCCCAACTGGAGACCACCAGGAGTGCAGTGAAAGTCATGTTCTTTGACTTTTCCAGCGCTTTCCACACCATCAGACCAGAGCTGCTGAGGGGGAAGCTGGAGGAGGCTGGAGTGGACAGACATCTTGCTGCCTGGACCATCAACCTCCTCACTGAACACCCTCAGCACATGTGGCTGCATGGCTTTCAGTCTGAGGTGGCAGTCTGCAGGACCTGGGCCCCCCAGGGTGTCGTTCTGTCTCTGTTCCTCTTCACCATCTACTCCTCAGACTTCATCTACAACACGGACAGCTCCCATCTCCAGAAGTTCTCCAATGACTCGGCCATTGTAGGCTGTGTTTCATCATGGACAACACCTCTCTCCCGCTGCACCAGACTGTAGAGGAGCTGAGCAGCTCCTTTGAGGAAAGACTCTTACACCCTGTTTGTATAAAGGAGTGCTAAAGCAGGTCATTCATCCCTGCTGGAACCAGACTTTACAATGCAACACTGTAACGCAATGGCATAACAACACAACAATAGGCCCGTAAGCAACATTCTCTGGGTGGGCCCCACATGAAGTACAACACTCCATTATCTGGTCGCAATCTTTACTCACTGTAGCAGCAACGTCCGTCGTTCTTCCAGCTGCGCTTCTTTCCTTTATCTTTTTTGGAATAAGCTTAAGTAGCTCTTTTTGGTATCCATCATTGGTAACACATTGTACGTAACAGTTACGGTTTTAATCTATGCTCTGGATTACCCATAATTCCAAGTTGTAGTGTTAAAAATAAAATACTCAAATACATCGTTCTTTTAAGATCTTTATTTTTATATGAGTGTATTTTTTTTACCAACTATCTAATGAACTACACACAGTTATTAGCATAGTAATTAAAAGTACCACTGTCTGCTTTGCTATTGGTGTCATGTTTAAACGGCTCTGCTTACCGATATTTATGCCATCACTATAATGACAATAACTTGCGCGATATGTAATGTGCAATTACTATTTAACACCCTGTGCAAAAAGGTTCTCCACTGTCAGATCAATAAAGTCAATCAGTCTATCAAACAAACCCTACCCATATTTCAAACAATGTTGTTAAATAAGGGGAATGCATATTGTGTGGTATTTGTTTTTTAGACTGAAATAAAAAATAAAAAAAAACATTTCAGAATGTGCTCTTTTGCCCAATATTTTTTATCCGAATAGTTTATGGTTGCTATTCTTGCATTGTGATATTTGTTTACCTCCGATCAGATCCCAATGTGTTGTACAAGCCGCACATAGTAAATTATCAAAAGAACTAAAAGCTTGACTTAAAAAGGACTGGTAGTGGGGGAAAAGGAGCAACTCCCAATCAAAAACAGCCAGTCTGTAATACACATTTAATACAATCTCTTTACATATAAATCACATATATCGCATCTTTGAGAAAGAAAAAAAAAAGAAAAAACACAAAATCTGTCCATATCAAAAGTAAAACCATGCTATGCCATGCAGAGGCTCAGTCTACTTTATAAAAGATCCTTCCAAAAAAGAATCTCTTATATGGAAAATGTAAAAAAGTTTTTTTTTTTTTTGTTACTTTGCTCATAAAGCACAAATTATAAAGACAAATCCTTTTGTACCTAAAATGTATTTGGATATATCTAACCTTAAGAAACTCCAAATGCAAATGCAATTCATTCTGGCTGCTCCAGTCAAAAAACCTCTGCCATTGTGCTCTGTGTCTTGTTGTATACAACCACAAAACAGGCTAAAATTGAAAGCAACCGGACTTTTGCGCAGTATTACTAAAGACGATTTGGCAGCTGTCCAGGAAACTATTTCCATTCTTTTGGCTCATACTGCAGCAATCTACAGATGCGGGGCTGATGTTTTAAAGCACCATGGAGGTCCATCCTCCTAAGCACATTCCAAGTCAGATGCAAATCAAAGATCCATAGTCTTTCTCCTGGATCCGTGGAATCTGTCTTTGTGTATAGGTTTTGTGTTTAGCTATTTAATAACATTGAGTTTGGTTGTGTTAACCTCTTTGAAATTAATCCTTGAGGTCTTTCTTCACCCTTCTTTAAAACCAGCTGTCTTCTTTGTTTGCAATCTAAACATTTTGGTTATCTGAGGTGTGCCCTTTGTTCTTGAGGTGCAAGTGATGATTTAAATGAACAAACACAAAAACCATACACATTTAAAGACTCCAAAAGAATTTGGTTCCGAGGATGGACCTCTATGCTGCTTAACACCATCCAAACTTACAGAGTTCTCTAGTGACTCCTGGGTAGGTGTCAAAACGTCTTCAAAACACCTCAGCTGAAGTCCAGTTGCCTCCAGTCAATTCCTTGGCTGCCATGACACAGATGACTGAGAATTTACATAGGCTTCTTGTAGACTTCACTTGATGGACGCATAACCAGTAATCTGTCAAATCAGCCAATAATGAATCCTTTTGATACTTTAAAATGTTTTTTTTTTATTCTTTTTTTTTCTAGGAGAACAGATTTGGATACAACTGAGGAAAAAAATAAATAAAAAGATCAGTTTATTTCCCAAAAATGCAAAATAACAAAAGAATCAGATTTACATAACATGAAGAGTTTTTCAGTCTAGCTGTAATGTTTCTATCGCCAATAAACAATAAAATCACTCTTTTTAGACATGACTATTATAAAAGTAGCAGCTGGTTGGTTGTCATTTAAGGCTTATAGTTCTGTAACTGCTGAGAGAAGCCGGCGTTTGGTCGAATCGACGGTCTTGCCAGCTTCACCTGGTTGTAGGCGTCATCAAATGAAAGCCCCTCCCTTAACATCAGGTAACCAATCACAATGGAGGAGGAGCGTGACACACCAGCGTTACAGTGGACCAGCACCACACCGTCCTGGAGAAAGGAAACAAAATGATTGGTAAACCTGTTAAACAAAAGTTCTAATCAGACTTTAGTGTTCCATCCGGACTAACAAACATCTTTTCTATTATAAAAGTAATATAGATTATAAAGAGATTATAAAGAACAAGTACATTATTGTCAAAGTGTTTTTGGGAAACAGACTTAAACCTTGAAGGGAAAAGTTCAACTCCAGGTTGTTCTTGCTGTTAACTTTCTGTGCACAGAAAATTCACCCAACTGTCATGATCCACAGCTCATTGTCTTTCTGTTGAATCAGTCAACTGTCTTCAGGGCCTTTTCCATATTTATTTAACCACTTAAACCCGAGCGCCCCCTCTCATGGGGAGTGGATCTATTTAACAACAATAAGCTGACTAACTCTGAGACTGACACACATTCATCATATGTCCAGATCTTCATCTACAAGACCATCTGCTTCATTCTAATATCCGCTGACCACAGCTCCGACACAGTGCCAAAAAGCCCTGATAGCCAAAATACGATTTATCACCCAGTTTATGTGTCTGTGGGCCTGGTTTCTACAACACACATAGCAGCACCGAATGATGCATTTCTAATGAAAGCCAACAAGACTCTTGCTGCTGGTGGATAAGATGAGCGGCATTCTCATAAAACACCACCAAAACAAAGCGAAGAAAATAAAGTCTGTCCTACCTTTGCTGGTTTTTTCATCAAAATATATTTTAATCCCAATAAAATTCAGTTTTTGAAATATGTCCAACCTTATTATTTGGCTAAAACCTACTTTATTCTTTATTACGGTAGTACAACATGCCCATGTTTGGAATCTAAATTACAGACCTCTGCTACTCTTGCTTGTGTTTCACTGGGGCTTCTGTCCATCTCAGATTGGATTCTGTAGAATCAAGCTTTCCAAGGAGGCATGAAACTCCCTGATTGGAAAGACTGTTATAGATGAGGCCATACGTCATTATCCATTGTTTTCAACTGTGCTTGGTGTGTATATTGTGTAATAACAGCATGGAAAGGAAATCTCTGTGTTTACACCTTTAAGATCTCTCTCCCTGATTCCTTCCTGAGAAGCGATCATTCGGGACAAATTCTTTAAATAACGCTTCATAAAGTATATGTATTAAATAACCATGAGACATGACAAGAGATTTTGACATAAATTATAATTTTACTCAGACCAAAGAAGTTGCTTAGGGTCACAGAAGGCAGTTATTCCAGTAAACATTTGTAAATGAAGAGACATCCATGGCTCCAGCGTTATCAAAATATTGCAATTTGTTCTGAAATCAAGGACAACTCTTTGCCACGTGCTTAATGACGATGACTTCTTATCCAGACAGTGAAACTGTCCTTTTTAGAACAAAACTACTTTGGAAAACATTAGTTCTGACACACAATAGGCAGGTATTATTAGGGTTTCACAGACTCACACTTCATCAATGATATGAATCCTGGCAACTGTAAATAAAGAGTGCTGAAAAAAAAAAACGAATTTTTTTTTGGTTTTATAACCAAATATATATCAGAATTCCAAATGATAAATTACAAAAACAAATTTCAAATTTCAGCATTTGTGCCAAACTGTTCCAAAATGGTAGAGTAAAGCTTCACATAGGTTTGTTTTTTCAATCTGAACATCAATAACTTGCTTCCTGTATGGGCACTAATCCTGCTACATATGTAACAGAGTTGTTGTAGTCACAATTTATTATATTAATTTCCTTCGTTACAGGAAAAAGATCCTTTTTTTTAGTGGCTAAATGTATATTTTGGCCTTTTAATTCAGGCCCACTTTTATTCACTTTAAAACTTTCAAATCTGCATCATCTTGCATGATCTTTATATTGGTTAATGAAAATATCAGCAGGTTAGGAAGTATGGAAGTTGAGAAAGGCCTTATGCCTTTTCTGGAAATCAGCCCTGTGGGCTTCTGTTTCTCCTTCGCTGAATTTTCTGGTCACACTGGTTGCCGCTCATTTTTTTCTGTAAGTTCTTCCTTCTTTCATTAACGACCAGTTTACATTTTGCAACCTCGAATGTCCTGTTGCTGCTCTTCTACTCCACAAAAAAAAAATAACCAAAGAAGAATCCGTCCAGAATAAGGAGCAGGCAACAGGCATCAAGTTTATATGACTGTGTGGTTTTTTGTGGTGTTTTGTGTGTTTGTCTTCCTTCCTCCACCAGGCGGCGCCTGGTCCTGGTTGGCCTTCTCACACACCTGCAGAGGGTTACCTCGTTAACGGAGTGTTCTTAAGCTGCTGACTGCCACTACCTCGACCCCAGAGTGTTTGCCAGTTTTGGGTACTCTAGCCAAGCTGAGTTTTACTGAGTCAAACTGAGTTCTTGTCAACCTGAGTCTTAACCTTGTTATTTTTGTCTTTGCCTCTTGACAGGAAGTCATCCTGTTAACTGGACGTTTCTGACCTTCTCTCCCTGGAAGGATCATCTGAGCTTCAAACTGAGCTGGGGATTCAAACTGGAGGTTTAGATCTACTTTCCTCCAAGGGATTGTTTGAGCTTCACACTGAGCAAGGGATTCATCTCCACTACGACCCATTCAAGTACTGCAGGAAATCTAAGTAGCAGTCAGTTTCTCTGTTCACCTACAAACAACCGCATTCTGGGTAAACCCTGTCTGCTCTCCATCAAATGAGACAAACACTGGAACACCCCCACACCGACTGGAGTCAAAGAGTCAACCACTTTTCTGGAAACGTGAGTCTGCAATCCATTTCTCTTCTTCAAGTTAGAGAATCGAATTTCCCACTGAGCCTGAACTAACCACTGTCTTCCCCTCACTTTCCAGTTCCGGTTGAGCAGTGTTCAGAGCAACATTGGATTCTTCACAATCTCCTCAATAAACCTGTTAAACTTTTCCTTGGTCTCTCTGTATTGGTTTCTCTGCATGTGGGTCCCAGCTCTTGATGAAATCATGACAGGAGTTTTGACAGCAGGTGGAGAAGAAGTGCTACAAAAAGTAAATTATGTTTAATTGTAAAAAGAAAATTAGAAAAAAAATCTTTTTTACTTTTATAGTTTCCATTTCCTGTCATGGAAACAGTCTTAAAGGGATCCACAACTTGTTGGAATATGTTGATTTTCTGATTTTCCAACTTTTGACATGAAAAATCCATAAGAATTGTTACAACTAATCCTTGATCCTTTTAATAATGAGATTTTCTTCCATCAAGTCTTTGCACTAAACAAAGCTCTAAATTACAGTTTAGTTTTGGACAAATTGTATTTGGTAAAAATATCATACCTAGCATTCAGTTCTGTTTTGAATAAAAAGATAATTAGACCGTATATTCTTGGACAAATTCAGACCAAAACAGATATATTTACCTGTGATGATTTATAAAAACACTCTTTTAAATGAGGCTATATGGCAGAAAACCAGTGCCTGCTATCTCACCTGCGCAGATACACTAAATGTTAAATGAGCAGATACATTTTGTGTCATTTAAAAACAATTTTCTCTTTCTAATAAATGCTTCTCATGTTTCCCATGGCGACACATTTGGAGAAACCACAGCTGGAAGCATCATTTGGCTCCTCTTTGTTCCTCTGGAAACCTGTTATTTCTGCTTTTCATCAAAAAAAAAAAGAAAAACAGACCTTTGAAAACAGCATTAAACAGAGCTTATCAAGTGAGTAGAGACAGAATAAAGCATAGTCCGGGGCTATGTGTGAAAGTCAACATTTGCGAAATGATTAATATTAATGCTGATGTAATTAGTTTTCCAACTAAGGTGCCTGGATGGGATAGATTTTAGAAAATCAAGGCAGATCATAAGATAATGTGCAAAGGTCCCCAGCTCTAAAGCTTCTCCTAGTAACGAGACACGTTTGTCTCTTTTGTTCAGCCTCCCATCGAAGGATAAAGCCACGGAAATGGAGCGGAACTGAAACTCTAAGCACATTTTTGATTTTCTGTGTCAATCAATACCCATTGAGGGACAGGAGATTTAAACGGCCTCGCAGGAATTGATGTGCAATCACTGCTGCCTGTGTTTTGCTTTAAAAAAAATAAACCAATCAATTACTTCCACTGACTTAAATACAATTTAATCTAATAGGCGTTTTGAAGCCAATATTTTTTTTTCAAACAGCATCTTTTTAGTTTTTTTTCTAAGTTTTGTCCGTCATGAAGTCTCCTCTGTTTTCTCCTGATGTCTGTAAAGATGTCTGGAGTCAATCCAGTTATATATCAGGCCATATGTTGCTTATTGAGAAATAAATAAAGCTTCTACAGAAGGAAAATTGCCTCAGAAACATAATCCAGTGCAGCAAACACAGAGACTTAATTTGGTTTTGTCAGAGTTTCTTGTTTTCTTCTCGTTTCATTGCTCTTGAGTTGAGTGTTTTCATATCAGGGCTCACATCACATTATGCTCTGCTATCGGTCAGTCTCCTGACGCACACTGGTACACCCCATCATGCTGCAAATTCTGTTCCAAGAAACGATAAAAAAAAAACATCTTCGGCATTAATATGATATAATTTACAGACAAAATGGAGCAGAAAAGGTCCAGACACCCAGGTGTTTTAATAAGTAATCAGATGGCTGTGTTCACCTTTGTGCTGGTGTGCAGATAAGAGTGTGTGTGTGGTGAACGTGTGTGAATGCATCTCAGAGAGGCTGCAGAATAGCTGCGTGTGCACGCTGACATGTTCAATTAGCCGACACATATGAATAAAGGCATTTTCAGGTTGCAGCAGTCTCCTGAGGGAAGGTAGATGCAGATGTGTTTAAATCGATTTCATACAGTTCCTCTCCTTGGAGGAATCCATAAAGCACTGATGAGTGTGTTTTATGTGTGTTTCTGCTGTGGTCAGGAGAAAAGATTTATTGGAATACTTAAAGCTCCTTCTACTTTTTACATCCTGAGGCTATTTTTTTTTTCTATTCACATCTGTTAAGAGATAACACTAAAGAAATGAATTATGACCCTCTGATAATTCTGTAGAGATGAACTACATGACTCTAAGGTGCACTGAGTGTTAGAAAAACCTGCAGGAGGGATCAAATTAAATTAAATATCCAGGAAACAATATGCATTGGGTTTGGCTTTTGTATGTAAAATATCTGGTTTTAAGGCAACCAAAGAGAGGGCAGGCAAGAAAATTATAAATAATCTGAATTTTAAATACATTATTATTTTATCTTTAGTTGAATAGCATAGAATAAGGACTGAATTTCACTTAACCCCTAGAACCCTACGGACCCACCGGTGGGTCCAGCTGCTACGTGACCTCGTAATTTTACCAAACCCCCAGTATTGATGTAAAAAACACATTTGGCACAGTTTGGTGACATTTTTGGATAAATGTGCCAAAATAGCCTCTCCGCCTAAGAAATTTCTCACTAATACCATTCTAAAATAAATATGATTCATCTGATTGAGTCCAAATTTGGTATATTTTTACACAACATTTAGATTTAAAAGTCTGTACTATTTTTTTGTGCTATAAATAATATTTTGGTAGTGTTTTGCTATGTTTATTTCAAAGAAAATTTTGGCGAGGTTCAAAAAATGCAAAATATTTTGTATTTTGTCCCTAATATTTCAGGCAGGGTCAAAGCTACAATGGTGCTGACACCAGAAAACCATTCTATGACATCTTACCTTTACAGAGGTACCAAAAGTTTCTTCTTAAATCTAATAGCTCTGAGGCTATAAGTTATTTACTTTTGTGTGTTTTTGTCAGGCAGAAATTTATTTATATCCCCTGAGGGTGTAAGAGGTTAAGCAAGCAAAGTTGCTAGATGAGGTCATATTTGCTTGGTTTGATCAAGCAAGTAGAAGAAAAAATATCCACATTGGCAGAAAGTTATTAAATACGCTCTAAATACATTAAAACATTTACTAAACATGAACACTCTAATACATTTGATAGTATTCCATAATATTTTGCTTGTGTTGGATTTAAACTCTGGTGTTTAGGTGTAGTTCCAGGCCCCTCAAGCTGTTTTTTTTTTATTTTTGGCTGGGTGGTTTATAGCATTAATTTAGGTTATGTATACAAGGATTATCTTTATCTCAGTATGATGCTTGTATCAAATGAGATATTTTTATCAAATTAAGTGGTTGATTTCAACTCACTGCTCTGGTTGTGTGATTCACATCAAACCAACATGCTGAAGAAGTGGGACATGTTTTCAACACCTGAACCAAAGTTACAAAATTCATCTTATTCAACATATTCAGAGGGATACTAAGTGGATGAGGCTGTGGATGCATTAAATGCAGAGAGGATCTATTTCAGTGTAACAGTAAAAAAAAAAATAATAATAATTTATTTGCATTGTTTTTTTTTTGTTTTTTTTTATCCAAAGGATGAATCAATGGATGCTTTTCACGTGTGATTCATTTTAACAGAGGGAAAAAAAACTGTGAGGCATCGCTTTTCTCTCTGACTACGGTCACACTGCAGCCTAATGGGATTTTTTAGCTTATATGCAACTCAAATCTGCCTTTTCAATGACAGTCAGAACGCAGCAGTTTCAAGCTTTTGTAAATAGTCCAGCACCCTTTTTTCTTTCCTGTTTTGGTCGGCTTCCCTGTTAGACACACAGCGTGCAGCTGTGTGACCAATACTCTGCCCTGCTCATGCGCGTTGTGTTGGGGCTATGAAAAGATCAGACAGGATTCCGGTGATTGTCGCATCAAAGTTGTAGTCTGCAAGATCATGCAGACAAAAAAAAAGATTTCAACAAAGGATTGGAATTGAGCATCAACATCTGTAGTTTGAACAAATCTTTTGCCAGTCGATTAATCTGTTGATTATTTTTTCAATTAGTCGATTAATAATCGGATAGCAAATGGTTCCGTAAAGAAAAATTTTCATTAAAATATTCCAGGTGATTGAGGATGTCAGGAATCAGTTCGGTACACGCAGAATCCATCAGCCAACCGAAACAGGCAGGCTCAAAGGTCTAGAGGCAGAACGGGTCAGGATCAGTCAATCAGAAACACACGGGTATGCTAAAGAACTCTCACCAATCTGGCACTGATGACTGGTTGAAGGCTGGTTAAATAGAGGCTGAAACAGGTGGATCAGATGAACGCTAATGAGAACTGGGCGGAGCTAGGCAGGTGAATGACAAGAGTAATCAGGCCAGACATCAGGGTCAAGATCATGACAATTAATCATACTGATAAATTGTAAAATGCACATTTAAATAATCTAATTCAGAGGTCTTCAACAGGGGGTCCATGACCCCTCGGGGTTCCATGGAGGTACTGCATGAGGGTCGCGAAAGTTTTGGTTTGGACTTTTTTTGCAAGTTCTTCCACTAATTGAAATGTCTTTAAATTCACATTAAAATGAATTCAACACACTGTAGTAAACAGATAAATGGAGGCAGAAGATGTCTTTCAGTCATCAATGCACACATTCAGCGACACCCAGGAGCTCTTTCAAGCTGGGTACCATTTCATTCACAACACCTGTCCCATCAATGAGGAATCAGAAATACTTTAATAATCCAAGGGAGGGATTACTTTAGTTACATTACTCTATCTGTAATAGAGTGACTATAGGACCAGTTTGATAGAAAACACTATCTCATTCAATATATATAATTAGGGGGTCCCTGTTCCATCTCACAATCAGTTTTGGGGTCCTTGGCCTGGAAAACGTTGAAGACCCCTGATCTAATTTCATAAAAATGTTATTAATTATATGTACAAATGAATACAGAGTGATGCAGTTGCATGGATTTGGAGGGGGGGGGGTTCACAGGCTGACATGTCTTATATGCAATTAGAAAAAAATAAACCCATACATGTACAAACCCATTCAGCTTCTACCTTTATATGATGCAGAACAACAATCATTAATTTATGTGTAATACGTTAACAAACGATCCATGAAAATCTAGAGTGTCCTCAGTGATTTATTTGTAAAATATAGATGTTGGGTATGTTTATTCACTTGTTGGTATAGTGTGATTAATGTAGATTCACTATGAAATATTTTTCATGAAAAAAGGAAACTCAGATATTGAATGATTTAGTCCAACTCTCTATTTACATTAGTCTATGCCTGGCCACCCCTATAAAATCGTCTGGCTCCCTCCCTCGATCCAGACCCAGACATTTGAAGATAAACAGCAGGCTGAACACCCATGGCCGAGCACAGATACGTGAGTGAAGACAACTGATGGATGCATTGCTTAAAAAGAGGCCATTTCCAAAGCATTGTGTTTGCTGTTTACGTTCTAAGATTTTTCACCAGCATCAGTTTATTTATTTTTTTATTAATAGTGACTTTATCTTCCCAAATGAATTATTCATTTTTGTATGTCTTCATAACCTGCAACAAAGACTTTCTTATTTAAAATGAGAGATCACTGTCCTATTTCCTGGCCTTCGTGTCATAGCAGTGTGACGCTCCGCATGTCAGAACTGTACCTGTGCTCTGGCCTGATCTATGAAGCAGCTGCATTCCTCCAGATGTGAAGTTATGTCTGTTTCTGGCAGGTCCAGGATCTGAAGCGTCCTATAAACCATTTGATCTGGGAACAGGTTGGGGACTCCGTAGGCCACATTGAGCACGTGGGACACCTGGACAGGGACAGGAAGAGAGCATATATAGATGCATACGGGGAGTTAAAAGAAAAAAGACGGTAAAATCCTTGAAGAATGACCCCTGAGCATCAATCATGCTTTGATGTCTCTATAGACAGAGGTCTGCTTTGTTAGCCATCTTGGTGACATGAGATGCGCTGGATGTGACAGTGAGAGGGATGAGAGATAAAAAGTAAAGAGTGGTGGTTTGGCAGGAAATGAGACAGATGGATCCAATTCATTTTGCAGTGTATGTCTACACTCTCTTAAATTTAGCTCACCTCAGAAAGCCCGTGTTACATCTTGGCATCACACTAACATGCTTTCAGAGCTCTCGTATCCTCTAACATCCTTTTCCCCATGTTAGGGGATACTTGGAGAACCACACAATGCTTCCATTACTGACATTAAACCCCATTAAAGGCCAAACTAACAATCAACTCTTCCTGTTGACAAGTAATGTGACCGAGGCGGCGAACTGCTTTGTGACCATCAGACCCAAAACACGATTGGTTTTCTTACCGCATGCGACACAGTAACACCTGCACAGATATAGCACCAATACTGTACAGCATCAGATCCATTTACTTCTTCAGGAAAATAGTTCAACAACATGCTGTTGAAGTTCATATGCAGTACATGTTTCATTACATTACAGCCACATTGTGAGTCCTTGTGACATCACAACAAAAAGGAGTGCACAGATGTGAGGTGCAAGAAGAAAAGATGTGTTTTGCATATCTAAAATTACTAAATTTTTGCCAAACAGCTTGTTAGAAAAATGTAAATGTCATTATTTTAATTGTGTTAAGTTACAGGCATTTGGCCTGATAGGAATGTTATGTTGTTTTTAACTTCAAATGGCGAAAACAAACGGCTTTCCCAGAAAAGATTAGATTAGATTAGATTCAACTTTATTGTCATTACATAGGTACAGGTTTAAGGTAATGAAACGCAGTTTAGGTCTAACCAGAAGTGCAATAGCAGCCAGTGCAGGATAAATAATGGTTCCATAAATACAGGACATGGGTTTCTACTGAATGAGTATAGAGATGAATACTATTATAAATAAAGAATATAATATATAGATCACTAGTGTTATGAACTAAATTTACAGCTGGATATGTACCGAATATAATCTACAGGTGGGTTTTACTATAAAATGAATAAATAAAGTTTGGAGTTGTCATCAAGCCATGCGGTTGCAGGTGACTGCTCACCACCTGCAATAAACCTACACCCCCCCTTTGTATGTGTAAAGTTCTGACCCCTCCTGATACTTCTCTGAAGTCCGACAATAGAAGACAGAGATGTCCTATCAGAGTTGAGCTCGGACATTCAGTGAGAGTCATTCTCCGTCTGGTTCCACTCTCCTCTTCTGCAGAAAAGTAACCTGTGTCTTGTGTTGGTTTCTTTCTAGCACTAACCTTATAACAGCTCAAACTCCATCGGAAAACATCCATGAAAAAAACTGTTTTTGATTTTTTGAGCAGATTGTCAGCCAGTGTCACCAACTACAACATAAGACTCCTTAAGACAATCATAATTGTCATTTAATACCTATATCCTGAAAAAAAAAGTTGTGGAATGCAAAATAAAAAACAAAAAAAATCTAATAATTTAAAAAAGTATATCTTTCTGTATATTTCCTTATTGTTATAGAGACATACCTTAGTTTTACTGAAAAATATTCTTTAAAATAGCCAATTTTTTACCCTTTACAACTAAAAACATTGTTTGATGAGCATACTCTCACCTCAGTAGGTCAGTGGTGATTCATTTGTAAGCCTGTACCCTATTGTAGCTGAACCTACTTTGTTGGGGTCAGGAGTCCCATGATGTTTCTGCTAATGTGACTTCAAGCCCATCCATGTTAAATAAGTCCAACCCTTATATAATCGAGATGGACTGTGTGGACACTCAGAAGCATCCTGCTAAAATCAGACAACAATGGCGACTCAAGGAAAGGGGAAAAATGTTTTTAATAAAACTTGATTAGTACGAGCTTGAGCAATGTGAATGAGCAGGGAGAGCTGCAGTTCTAAGTTTCGGCCACAGGTGGCAGTATCATCAGAAAACTCTGTCATGTCTCTATGAGTTACTGTCAGGACTCCTTTCTGTGTGTTTGTGTTTCTGTGTTTGTCTCCCTTCCGCCACCAGGAGGCGCCTGGTTCTGGTCCGCCTCCTCACACACCTGCTGATGGTTTCCTCGTTAACGGAGTGTTCTTAAGCTGCTGACTGCCACTACCTCGATGCCAGAGTGTTTGCCAGTTTTGGGTACTCTAGCCAAGCTGAGTTTTTGCTGAGTCAAACTGAGTTCTTGTCAACCTGAGTTTCAACATTGTTTGTCTTTGCCTCTCTGCATTTTTCGGACCTTCTCTCCCTGGAAGGATCAACTGAGCTACAAACTGAGTTGGGGTTCAAACAGGAGGTCTGGATCCACTTTCCCCAAGAGATCGTTTGAGCTTCACACTGAGAAAGGGATTCATCTCCATTACGACCCGTTCAAGTACTGCAGGAAATCTGAGTGGCAGTCAATTTCTCCGTTCACCTGTTAACAATCGCATTCTGGGTAAACCCTGTTCCGCCCTCCACCGAATCAGACAAACACTGGAACATCAGCATACAGACTGGAGTCAAGGATTTATGAACTTCTTTGGAAACGTGAGTCAGCAACCAAATCCTCTTCTCAAAGTTCACGAGTCAAATTTCCCACTAACCGCTGTGTCTTCCCCTCACTTTTCAGTTCCGGTTGAGCAGTGTTCAGAACAACACTTCTCTCTGTATTATCTCTTCAATAAATCCTGTTAAACCTTTTCCCTAGTCTCCCTGTTTGGTCTTCTGCATTTGGGTCTGAACCTTAGTAAAATCATGACAGTAACTTGCAATGAGAAGAGTTGCCTTAAAATAGAGTTCAAAAACAGTCTAAGGAAAATTCAGTGTTTTTTATTAATTTTGGAAATAAAAAGAACATAATTTTACTGCACCTCTCCAGGAGCGTAGAACCTCACTGCATTTTGTTATTTATCAGAAGACTGACTTCATACACAAGGTTCCTACCTGACCGGCTGCTCAGTGTTACATACAGGCCCATGATGACCATCCAGTGTCACAGATTGATGTGTAGATTTTTTAAATCCATCTTTTCCAAACAGGCAGTCAGTAAACTGATTTAAGGACTGCTGTGGTATGCTTCATTTTTCTGGCATTGCCTGCTAGGCTGGCAGCAGTATTATGGATGAGCTAAATCTTTTTTTTTTTTACTGTTACTATTACTGTAATCTAACCTGGGGAACATAAAAGTGTGCACCAGTTGATCTGTGTCCTGCCTTGACATGAGCCTTTTCCCAACAACACCTTGTTTTTTCATGCTCTGTAGTGCGGAGCCTCAGTGGCCCTCATTTATCAAATGTGAACGTGGGAGAAAAACGGCTGTGCAGACACTTTTTAGACAAATGTCAGGTTTTATCAATTTTAACCTGGAGCAGGACACGTTCAATTCCCAGGCCAGGTCTCAGATTGTGTACTCTAGCTTCTGTCACACTGGAGGAGAGGAATACTTAGCAGAACAGATTTGTGAAATGTCAACTATAGGTCTTATATTAAGGATGAGGATTATTCATCAGTTTAGTCTTAATAATAATCTAAAGCTGAAAGATTTAACCAAATAATATAAACCTGCATGCTTATATAATAAGTTGACAGGAAGGAAAATACTGGAAGAAGAGCTGGTGAAGATTCTCAGTCATCCAGGTCAGAGTCATTCCAAAAGAGTTAAAAAGTTTTACTGGAAAAAGAGAAAATATTTTTTCCACACCCAGGATGATCACAGGATTTCTCAAACATAAACTAAAATAATATTTCTGTGTGAATCAGGCCCATGTATGTGTCTATAGCTATTTTCACTAGGATGTGTTCATCTGGACACTGTTCTTATTGATTCTGTTAGAGGACTCTGCCGTCTTCAAGTTGGTTTAATATTAGATTGCTGAATTTCATTCAGTCTAGAAACAACACGCTGTCTTACCCTTCTTAAATATTTTTAAATACCATTGAAAACATAAATTATATTTTTCACACGTATGAAATAAATATTATTGAATGTTGCAAAAAAAGATAAATATATTGCCCTTTAGGAAACTAGTCCATGCATTTGTTACTTCAAGGCTGGACTATTGTAATTCTTTACTATCAGGAAGTCCACAAACTGTAGT